TTAAAAAAAACCACTAGAGCTCTATGTTCTTGACTTATTCAATCGCTAAAAAAACACTAGAGCTCTATGTTCTTGACTTATTCAATCGCTATAAAAAATATATATTTAAATGTTTCGCACTTGTTGCAGTAATTTAATATTTATTATTCATAAAAACTGACAAATGAAAGAAATATGAGTGATATCTGGACCTCTTAATTATAAATCGAATGGCCATCATATCCAGTATACTTATTATAAATATATAAATTTCTAAAAAATATTAATATTCAACGTGAATATATTAAATTTAATGTTTGCCAAATATCATTTGAAACATGCACTAAAGCTAAAATAACACTATTATTTAATGTGTTTACGATAATTATATATATTTCCAACCCGCCCAATGAGATCAATAGGTAGGAGCGTCGATGTCGCGAGTTCAATCTTTGGCTGGCAATATTCTCCTTGACGATTAAATATGGCATTGTGTATGACATTATTCGTCCTCCACCTAAGAGTCACGTGGGGAAGTTGGTGAGAACTTGCGGAGAACAGGTATGTTCGGGTACAGAATCCAGGAATACTGGTTAGGTTAACTGCCCACCCATGCAATCGTAACTGAAATACTATTGAAAACGGTGTTAAACCTAAAAGAAACACATATAGTTTCCACATCTCTGTATTTTATTTATAGATAGTCATTTCTTAAAGTGACCACTCTTCATTAACAAGATAGATAGATTGCTGTTTTGTTAATGCATCGTGAATGATTATTTATAAGGCATTATAAAGGAGAAGATGGATCGTGAATAAGGTAGTAATACCATACGCGCGCATCCTCAAAGTTCTGATGACACGAACACTCTATCAACCGGTATTTGGAAGGAAACAACCCTTCCCTATCTTGTCAGTATTTCATGCTGAAATGCGTTTTGGATTCTGGATACAGTGTACACCCGTCACAAATTGAGAACATGTCGATTGAACTGAAAGTTTCTGACGATTCTTAGTTAAGTCATTGTAGAACGATTTCAAAACGTATATTTAAACCTTGCTCTTTCTTATTTGTCCGAAAAATGTCGATGGCCCATAATGACGTATGTAGTGAAGTGGCTTTTTCTGACTGTCACATATTTGAAACGTCATTCCTCTGAACACAAGTAGGAGGGATGATCCAGATTTTTTTACCTGGAATTTCCTTATAATTCTGATCAATTTCATGTTTTCTTCATTAAATTTATTACCCGCGTAAACATTGATGTTTCATCTATTTAATTGCAAAATATTATTGATTTAATTTCATTTAGTACCATTTCAGGCAACCTTCAATAACCATGGAAACGTCACAGCGGCGCAGCTTAAAGAACGCGCCGCCCCTTGAAACTTTAAAATACATCAAAGTGCATGATACAAAAATGTATCTTGTCAAAAATTTGCCGGAGCTTGGTGTAAACCCCGAAAAACGTCATGTTAAAAGTTCACGCCATTTGAACAATTGAATATTCTGTATTCAAGTTTCAACGGTGTAAAGGTGCAACGTTTATTTATTCAAAAAAGTCATAACGGCACTTTCACAAACATCTGTCAACTCAATCTTTAAAAAGGGGCTTTTTCTGTCAAAATGCTTGATAGTTACCTCCTCCTGTCTACAGGTTGGGGTCATTATGGTGAACAAGTGTGCAAAGTTTCAAAGCCATATGTCAATGGACTTTGAAAATATTTGAGGTATTACAAAAACTTTAATTTAAATTCTAAGTCAAAAAGGGGCATAATTCTGTTGAAATGCTTAATACAGTTACCTCCTCCTGTTTACAGGTTGGGGTCATGATGGTGAACAAGTGTGCAAAGTTTCATAGCCATATTTAAATTGACTTTGAAAATATTTGAGGTATTACAAAACTTTAACATAAGTGGTTACGCCGACGGCGTCGACACTCGGGTGACTAGAAATCTCTACTTTAAAAGAAAAGAAAAACTCCTATACAAATATACATATTTTATTTCATTGTTTCTGTATGGTCAACAATAGAGCACATTAGATCATACATGTACAAATTTAACAAGATGATGCAAAATAAATATAATACGCAAATCAACAGCTAAAATACAATAAAATAAGGGGAACAACTCATGTTACACTTTTACCAATTCTACACTCAAAGAGAAACCATTCACATAATCATGAATGAAAATGGAATCAGGGGCAATAACTATGTCAATCATCAAAAACACCAGTACCAGTATATAAAGAATCTCTTCAGGGATATGAAAAAAACAATTTTTCTGCAATAAAACTGTAGTACCTCTAGTTAAACCTATTTCATTCAAAAGGGGGATAATCAAATTTTCTTAAACAGTAATAACACAGTTACTGACATGTAGATTTTTTTACATATATAATGAATTAGAAAGAATTCTGTAGACCTAATTATACTTAGCGAACTTACAAAAAATGAACCAGAATTGCTTATTGATATCCGTAAACCACTCAGTTATATTATTAAGATTTCAAAGTATAACCTACTACCAAAACCTAATGCAGACAAAACTAGATTTAACAATACTATTGACTAAATAACAGTTCATTTTTCAGCCGAATTTCAAAATATTAATAAGGAATAATATTAAAAATCAAATATAGAACTTTATATAAACAGTATTGCACTTTTTATGAATTTTTTTTCAGTATTACAAAATAAAAGTTGAATTTTAAGCAATATTTAAAGTGAGTTTTTCAGTAACATGTAAAATGAAGGAACATAAGAAATACATTTTATAATTTTAGTTTTCCAAATAAACAATATTAATTATCTTCTTAACCCGTTTTTGTACTATAGCTTGTTATCTTAGGATATGTTCAGAAATTAGAAAAAAAATACACAAGTACATGTTTAATCAATTATTGAAGTCTCTTTATAAATTTTGAAATATGAGCACAAATTATGATAACATTGAGAGAAATGAACATTTATGAAAGGTGCTTTAAAATAATTTATAAGGCTTTTTTTTTCTTTTCCAATTACTGATTGACCTTTCATAATACATTAAGTTCTGTGTAATTGGCACATGTTATAAAAGAGAGATATCTGACAGATTTTTTTTTACAATTCACTGAGTTTAGACACCTAAATTTTACATAGACACAAAGAAAAATCATATTCTCCCAAATATTTCTCCTTTACCGCTAAAACATGTTCTATAAATAAACATGGCATTTTTTCATTACCCTTTAATCTGTTATTTGACAACTAAGGCAGTTCACACAACTTAATAGTTAATGCATTTTGTCTACAACATATCATGTACCATAGGAAAACCATACAAATGATAGGAAAAATCATACAGATGATAGGAAAAAACCATACAAATGATAGGGAAAACCATACAGATGACAGGGAAAAAACCATACAAATGATAGGGAAAACCATACAAATGATTGGGAAAACCATACAGATGATAGAGAAAACCATACAAATGATTGGTTTTTAAATCATACAAATGATAGGAAAAACCATACAAATGATTGGGAAAACCATACAAATGATAGAGCAAAACCATACAAATGATTGGTTTTTAAACCATATAAGCAGTTGGTTTTTAAACCTTACAAATGACTGGTAAAATCATGAAACCATTGGAACACTGTAAAAATGACAGTAGAAGCTAGCTAGAACCATACAAATGAAGGCAATTTCATACAAATGACTTGAACTCAATACAAAATAAAACCATACAAATGACAGAAAAAAAAACACTCACAAATGACAGGGAAAACAAATGCTGATGCTTAAATAAAATGCTGATAAAAATCATTCTGCTAGTAGCTATATACAGTATGAATAACTCTTCAGTGACCATGAAAGATATTTCAAATTTTATACCAATTTTACTTGCATTTTCATTGATTCGAGTATATAATATCAAAGTAATGAATGCCTGAAAAATCAGCAGCCACAATAAGGATGTTCAGCTATGTAGAAGCCTCATTCACAACAAAATATTCAGTAACATGACATCAACCTGTCTCAGTCTTAACATTCTGAAGTGCTTTCTCAATTTTAAAACTTCTGAGTCGCGAATCAATTATTTACAAATGTAAACACTAAAATCATTAAAGTATCAAACACAGGGGTAATGAAATGTCATTAACACATAATTAGTATGCTTACCGATCCAATTAAGCCATTGTGAACAAATAAATCTTCATTAGGTAGAGAAAAATTAATTTACTAGTTAAACATTAATATCAAAAGAGTTCACTGATTAATCTGACTGGACTGAATCAAATATCTACATGTAACTAATTTTTTGCCTTTCTACTATAATTAAACCTTGTCAACCCCTAAATTTGTACAATAGACTTGTTTTTAAATTTGTTTTTAAATTTGGATGAGTCCATTTGTAATTTAGCCCATTTCAATATCAAAATATCAGTAATACAATTGTGATGTAATTTCTATGTACATTTTGCAGTACTACAATTATCTAACCTTTCCTCCCCTTAATTTGTACAATAGACTTGCCCTGCCTTGGTCTTGGAACAGTACATTTATATAGTAAGGGGTGTCAGTATCAAAATGATAAAAATTTAACATCTTAATTGCCAAAAGATAAAAGATTGTCAGACTTCACAGAAATGATGACTGGTCTGGCTTTATACTGGTGTAAACAATTTAAAACTTAGAATGTAACTCCATTAAAACAGAATACAGGCATACTTATTTACAGACAGAAAATATTTGATTCAAGGGAGACAACAACTGAGACATTCTTAGGTAAAGCTATTTAATGCCCATTGAATTACCTCCCTTCATACTGAAGTTAAAATTAATATCTCTATGACACACACACACTTCAACAAGCAAACTTTTATTATAGGACACTTAAAAACTTTCTAGTTAGGTTAAATTTTAAAGAAATTATTTAACGGCCACCTAAAGAAAATTTTTCCAAAAAGGTGGAGACAGATTTTTTTTCTAAGTTTTTCTCCTACCTTTTGGCAAAAATTAATGTACATAATATGTTTTATATGCTAAAAAACATGCCCTTGAATAAAAGGTCAATTCTCCCATCTCACTATTATGAATTAAACAGAAAGGGTCATTACTCTATCATAAATTGAATAACTAAATTTGGTTTCATACCACTAAATTATGTAATACAGACAGATGCATCTTTTTACCTGTATTTAACAATATGGTTTCTGTTGAAAGAACTGGTGTAAACCATGTATAGGTTTTGGGGTGACTGCAACTAAAACAACCCTAACCCACAGCCTAGAGCACTTTATTCCACCTCCAGCTTTGTATGATATTAGATTTACATCTGATACTAGACTGATAAAAATATCTCGCCACATTATTATCTACTTTTTATCACCTTTGATCAACGCCTTATGTTAACCAAACACTATCAATATATATAATTTATTTAACATTTTAACCACACCTGAATAGCCAATGGCAATTAAGAAATGACACAAAATATATGTGAATAAATGCAAGAAATCAGTTTGTTTTCTGAAGCATTTTAAATTACCACATATTTCTTCATTCATATATATTAGTAACATTACTATTTATTTTTGTATAAATGTAAACTCAATTAATTATTTAATTAAATTAATTCATTTATTAATAATTTACTAAATTTGTAACTACATTTGCATGTATTTTTAAATAATTGAGCATAGGGTTCCCTATTTTTGATAAAACCCATGCTATAATACATGTGAGATGTTGCATTTTCCAGAATTTCCAACAAACGACTTGATCAAAACAAGCCCCGAGCTTTTCACAAATTATTTTAACTTTAGTTCATCTTGAGGCTTCACCCTTTCTCAATTGCATCTTTTAATGAATAACTTTTAAAATCAACCTTTAATGTTGAATAGAATATTTTAAAAAATTGATCAGGATTCAAAACATATCGATATCAATGAGGAATGAGACAATAACATTTTTCCACTCCACTGCTTGCAGGGCTGATGGAATTCTATACGAGAATCTATTATAAATATTGCCACAGTGTGGAAGATACTCAATCATGTTCACTTATCAATTAGCATGGATGATTGATGCTGGTCTACTGTTCTCTGTATTGTTTCACATATAAACAATTGATTACAAACTGCTGTTACTTTTCTTTATATATCTACAATATACAGTTGAGTTCACACTTAAGATTACACAAAGTGCACTTGGTATGCACTACATGTGCACTTCAATGTGCATATCAAGTGAACTTTGAAGAGCACATTGAAGTTCACTTCTAGTGCATTAGACCATTTAAGTACTAACAATATTTCAGTTTGTATAGCAGTTACCTTTTATTTCAACAAATATGTTTACGACTTTCAAAAAAATAGATTCACCAAGAAAAAAGTAGTATGTGTTCAGGTGCTGCTACTTGCTAGCAGGTTTGAGGAGACATATTATTGCCTGTATGTACTCTAGGCTTAATGAGGGTCCATCTGCCCTTTCAGGCACTGAGAGTGCGGACCCCGGACATGTCACCATTCATGTCCTTAAAAGTTATTAATTTAACCGAAAGGTGACCTATAAATTTTAAATTTAGTCATATGAATGATACTTTTTTAAATTATTCAATGAATGATACTAAATATGTATGCAAGTTGATTTTTTGTTTTGATTCTATTTTGATGCATGGGAGGCCAATGACAACATATTAATTAAGCATCATGGAGAAAAATATGGTATTTTCTTGGTATTTCAGTTATACATCAGTGGGACAGTAACTTTCTTATAATAATTTAATACACCATTACAGGAAATCTACATGTATATCAATAACAGAATAAATAATCCTTTTTCAAAAATAACCCTTAAAGAACCCCCTTTGCATGTGGAAAAATTCAGTAGAATCAATTTGGTGAAGTGTTTATTGGTAAAGTTTGATAAAGCACAGTGATAATTAAAAATTGACAACAAATTTATCACTAGCATCAGATCACTGACTTATAAACTGTCATAGACTGAGAAATATTATCATCTTGATATGTATTTTTCTTATGTCCTGAATGGATGCAAAAAGAAGTAGTTGGTTGCTCTTTGGCCCTGATTTTCACTAAAAAGGGGGAGGTGAGACGAGAGAATGAGGGGGTTATCAACGTGTAGAAGCATCTTGGAATGACAAGGGGATATCCTTATTACTGAGTTTGAATTCCTTGCATTTAAAGAGCATAAAAAACTTAAATCAAAGAGTTATAAAAAAAAACAAATCATACATTGAGAGGAAACTTCTATAAATAACATCATAATTTTCTGTATATATGTCTTACACTCAACCCACTTGCACTGTTTAAAAAGAATTCATATTCTTAATACATGTACAGTCATGTAGTATACATCACACGATGCACCGTAGAATAAAAACTGGCCGATATATGAGAATTATACAAAATGAACATTGTAAATAAATGATACAGTATTATATGAAGAATGTGTAATGTGAAGAAAAAAGTTCATGTGGTCAACACAAACAAATTGTCATATTTCCAGACTATGTTTTAAAGCAACACGCCTCCAGATTCATGCCATTTTTCATGAAAATTTTGAAAATGTGTCTATAAGTATTATTTAGTGAAATAACCAAAAGGAAGCAATTTACACATTATCAATGGTACTTACAACCCAAGTAAATTAGTAAAAAGAGGACAAAATATTCAAAAATAGACCTTAGGGCGTTAGTAACGTAGTAGAAATGTTGTTATAAATACTGAAAAATCAGTCGATAATCGCACATAACATGTACGTATATTATTTGATTCTTTTCCTAAAATCTTAGTACATTTTTCTAAAGTTTGATTTCATTGAAATATTTTCACTCATCTGGAGGCATGCAGCTTTAAAAATCTGACTCAAGTTTGTAACATAGTGCAAAGATTATTCCTAGTGAAATTATGTTCATAATATTTTGCAGTGATGTAAGTTCACAATTTTTTTTTTTGTGTGTTTTTTGAATAAAATCAAAAATTTAAGTTTAACTTAAGAGTGGTGGCAAAGGCAACAACTATTTTAACACTTACCAGATAGTTGCTTTTATATGCTAAACTGTTATAATCAAAAATTAAAATTTCTTGTCAGATTATTAAATAACTTAACTTCACAGTTTCCATGGATACATGTTATGTACAAAGTCAGTGACAGAAATGAACATCCATGAAATTTAACAACAGGATGATGATGTAAAATAGAATACATGTTTATGAATACTGGGTATAACTTTAATGGTAAATGACGAAAAATGATATGATTTTATATCTTGATCAAAACAACAGCATTTCATTAAAAAAAAAAAACAGTAATAAAATGAACAGACATTTTCACAAAGCCAGGTTTTTTGCCAATATTTAATAAGTCAGGGGAAAAACACCAAAGGAGCCATAAAAGCTAAAATCATAAAATTCTGCAAATATGCATCTGGGCACTTGATGAACATCATTCTGTGAAAGTTGAGTTGAAATTACCTAGGTGAAATATAGGGAGTAAAAATTAAATTACAAGCCAGCCGCCCACTGTTATTCACCAATCAAATATCAAGAGTTTTCCAATGGAAAATCTGGTTAAAACATCGCCAAAATCTCGCAAAAAAAAAACAACACAAACTAAAATGATAAAATCACAAACAACATCACCTTATTACACATGATAAAATACTGAAGTTTTATAAATTATCAATAAAGCCGTAAAAACAAAATAGTTACACGCATGATATACTGGCATGCGAGCAGTTCCCGTACAAAAATCATAGTTACCTTAACATTATTTTTTATTACGCTCACTCACCAAAATTTGAATGTTACATATCAATATTCGGCTCGTCACACAAATCATGGAAATTCCATCATGTTATAAACATAGAATAACCCTTACTTATGAGGCCTCAAATGGGGTACCGAAATTATCCATTATTTTGTATGAAGAGAAGTAGTACATAAAATCTAACCCATTATAATTATACAATTTTATTATATCGGACCTATTTTTTTCATTTACAATTGTTGAACAGACCATTATCTAAGAGATAAATAGATGTAATTCAGGAAATAGAGCGTAGACTAAACGCGGGTATCTATTACCCGGTACTGTTACCCCAACGCATTTACATGCAATATCATGCTTGTATGCATGATATTTTACGCATCAAAGCCATAAAATTATTTTATATAGTAATATTGGTCAAAATTATGATAATTAAACAAGTTTTCATCACATTGCCTACTTATCTGTAAACAGGTGGTATTAGTGGAAAACCCTTTAACAAGCCTCATGTGTAAGTATTTTTGCGCATGCGCGCAAGGACGGAATCCCCCAGAGAAAACAAGGTCACGTTTTGACGACGCACAGGTGAAAGTGATTTATAATGAGATTTTTTAAACGTACTGCCAAACTGACACTTAGATTTTGTCTTGTTTATGTATCTGCTTGATTTGAAATAAATTTTTGAAGAATGCAAGTAAAAATCAAGTGTTTAAATGAAAAATACGGGTACTGCTTCTGTACGGGAACTGCTCGCATGCCAGTATAGTTACACTCTTAAGGCAATCTACAATCTGGCACCAAGTAGGAAAATGCTTATTATTATCAATTTAGTAATGTCTTGTTATCTGAATGTAGGAAAAATTGGTTTGAAAATTCAAATATATGAAATCATATCAACCTATCGTCTTATTTTTATACAAGAAATTATGATTTTCATACCAGTAACAATGAGACTTAATGTTCTTAGAAATAACTTTGGGCATTTCCAATTAAAATGCTAAGGAAGTTTTTTCTTAATGCTGAAAATTTTGTTCGAGTTAAAGTAGAGTCTGTGTTTCAGTATATCCAGACAAAATGTGCACAAAATTTAAATTTATATTAGGAGTAGTTATATTTTTAATCTACAGCTAAGCTTTTAACAGGTGTAACTCTTAATCTCTACCTAGCTTATTTTTGATCGGACTTGCCCTTATTTTAAATTTGGAAAATTTCATTTAGGATTTAAGATATTTCAGTCTCAGAATACTAAGTGAGTAACTGTATTAATTTTATGTACTGCCTGACTGCATGGACCAGCCCTGCTAAGCACTGGTGGTAAGCCATTTTCTAAGAAAGCACTCAAACAGTAAAAAAACGACACCTCTAATTTACTTCAATCATAAATATATAATTATACTGATCTACATTTTCATGTTTATCAGATATAATGTGGAAAATGATTATACTAAAGAAGCTTCACATTCTTCCAAAATTTCACTCCCTAAGCTAGCCGTCCTAAACTATAAAATGTGCAAGAATAAAAATACAAGAATGACTAGGTTCACTATATGGTATGACTGAATAGATAAGTTTACTTGGAATAAGCAAATATCGACTGTAAAATGAACTCAAGGCAAGCACATTCAATCAAATAAAGCATCACTGGTCACTCTCTTATACTTTCACAGTCACCCATGCAACTTTCACAGTTGCCCATGCATGATATCTTCATTTTTTTTTGTTCATTATTCTTACCAGATGTTAGATAAAATAAAAGTTTGCAATATAGATAATGCATAATATTACAAAACCCAAAAGCATATCGTGAAAATTTAGAAAGTATATAAAAGATTAGAAAGCAAAAGAAAAATTGTTCTTTATTTCTTCTGAGTTATGGCAGTGCTAATTGCCTTAAAACTGTAAATACAACTTTCTCATAAATGATTGAAGAGATTAACCCCTATTCTAATTTTTACAATGAGAATGGTAACGTTGGAAACAGTTGTTTTTTCTTTCTTCATTGTCAAATGAATGACAGCAAATCTAGAAGATCATCATGCCAAAATAAAACAATATCCACCTATCAAGCCCCCTTAAAGGGTACCTAAATTTATGTTGACTTCAATAAATTTCCTACAATATAAATAAAAACAATTGACTACATATTTCTGACAGCATCCCCTTATTTCCTTGATTAATCTACTTATAATTATATTCAATATTAGTTGATAACAAACATCCTTAATTGTATAATTTTTTTCATCATATAAATTTCATAACAGCACTTCAAAGCTCTCGGCACTTTTACTGACTCTGACACCTACTACCGTTATTCTATAAATAAAATCACCTAAATCTAACTATATATACAGATATAACCCTGTAAAACCTAACCTTTCATTCTTATAATGGATCAATATATACAAAAGGTAAAATCATGCATGCATCCTTCTAGAACTATTTTTTGTCTTAGAATAATGTTGGCACATGAATAAAATTCCTACACCAATAAACTAATCCCTGGCTGCTTGTTGTTGTTAGTGTTGAAATATATTTTCCACAGTTGTTACTGGAACTGTTCTTTACATATTTATGCACTTCAAAATGATTGGACTTGTTTTTTCTACATCTATATGCACTTCCTTTAAAAAATCAGAGACCTGTTTCTTTATCTTTATGCACTTCCTTTCAAAACTATTGGACCTGTTGGTTTCTTTTTTCATCTTTATACACTTCCTTTTGAAATTATTGGACCTGTTTCTTTCATCTTTATACACTTCCTTTTGAAATTATTGGACCTGTTTCTTTCATCTTTATACACTTCCTTTTGAAATTATCGGACCTATTTTTCCCCATCTTTATGCACTTCCTTTTGAAATCATTGGACCTGTATTATCTTTCTGGTCTTTCTTTAGAAATTATTGGATCTTTTTCTTCATCTTTATGCACATATAAAAGGCTTTCAGGTAATGTGATGAATCATGTAGTGTTTTTGAGCCAGTTAAACAGTGACAGAATAAGCTTCGAGAATGAAAAAAAAATCCTATTTGACTAAAAATATATCTAAAACATTCAAATAAATACCATCTTTAGTATGTGTCTTTATGTATTATCATTTACACCTTTCTCTTCTTGTTCAATATTTTCTTCTTGCTATTCTTGTAGTTTCCCCAATTCATATTTTCCATTACAATCTAGTGTAATTACTTTCTCAATAAATTAGGCAATAAATCACAGGACCAACAGATCTTGGTCACAGCCACATCACAAAATCACCTTTAAACATTAACATTGACTAATGGTATAAAAGGTGGAGATGGTAAAAAGGAATCAGTTGATTTCAATATTTCATTAAATGACAAAACGAGTTTGTTATTGTCATTATGGCAGTATTTCGCTTTGATTTTCAATTTCTTGTCCTTCAATCACACACTGTTTAAATACTGGTACTTTTTTGTCAATATCAAATTAACCAGTCTTCAAAGCAGGAACACAAAACTTTGTATCTACTTCCTGTTTCCTGAAATACTCTCCAATTTTGAAGGAGAATTTTTGGCTTTCACTTCCTGTGGCAGATCTTTCAAAAATCAACCAGGACAAGAATGCCTTTATAATCTGGCAAGTATTTATACACTTATATATAATAATTTCCTAATATAAAACAGTAGCACAAGGTCATCGTTTCTTTAAATTATTTGTGATCCACTCCAGGCCCTGATACAATCTGAAACAGATAAGAAAAATTCTCTTATTGTCTTCATACACATGTAAATCAATATTATGAAAGTAGGCAAAGCCTATGAACGGGTAAATATGAGTCAGATAAAAAAAAAAACATTTGTTCATTTTTTATTTTTCAATTCTCTTTTCTCTATTCTCTATTTAAAGGTGTCATTCCAAATTTCATGCACTGCTTCTATTTTCAATCAGAACAACTCAACGATTATTCTTAAGCCGAAAAGTTGTGACTGTTCTGTTATCAGAATTAGTAACCTCGCCCATTATCATCGAGTTACATTAAAAATGGCGGCTCCCAACAAAATATGACACTGTAAATTTCACTGATAGGTTACTGGTATAGAAGTCTATATATTTTTCAATTGTTTTTTATTTGCTTTCCTTAAAAATATACACATGTAGTTTATAGATCGGCAAGACAAAGCCTGGGACCATGATGGCTTTGACTTCCTGCTATAAACAACTCAAGCAATTTAAAGATAATATCAGCTTCTCAGTCGGACATTGCCCAATACAATTCTCTGGTCTTGATAGTGACAACAGAGCCCAGACAGCTCCAGAACGTCTTTTAAATGTATATCCACCCTCAAAACTACAATGAACTTGTAATGGTCAGCATTGTTTACACAATTTCAGTGAAATCACAAAGAAAGTGACCTTCACAGTCCAATGCTCTACCTTTTAAGCTAACCGGACAGCTTACTGTTGAGTCAAAATAAGTTTAAACATACATAATACAGATTTAAATGTCAATGTATTCTATTTTCTACATGGATGGATGGATGGCTAAACACAAATATGAACCTACCCTTCACCAGTTAGAGCACAGCATGCCTGTATATGCCAGGGGTGGTCTTTTATTGTTGTCAGATTTAAATGTTGAGAAATCTCAGCGGCTGACATTGAACCTTTGATGTCTTGTTTGTTGGCAAATATTAATACAGCTGACTTCTTCAAGTCCTAAAAATATTACAGAGATATATAATTATTTATATATACATGTACAATAAATATAACCTCATCAGAATTTATATTAAAGGTCATCAAGAAGTAAGCAGAAAGGTTTTTTTTCCTTCCAAAATTCGGCAATATTTCCTCTGAGGAGTGCAAAATCAATTGTCTGTATTGCCAAACTTTTTTTTTAGAATTCATTATAAATTTTTGAAATATAAATATCATAAAGACAAATAAAGAAACTTTCAGATAAAATGGTCAAGGTAGTTCAAAACAAATTTTTCTCGCACTGCCTCATACTAGAAAAAACCAGTTTAGAATTGTTAAAATAGACCATAATTAAAATGTCAAGGTATGAAATATTAAACACCATGCTTGAATCAGAAAAATTTATCATTTTTTATAAATCAAGGATTCAATCAGAACAACTGATATTAACAAAATACATGTATATTGATTTATAATTATGAAACATACAAAAACACAAACAAGTAAGGATTCTAATTGAAAAAGGTCAATTATAATATAATAGTATAAAGATGGTGCTTTTTTCATGACTTTTTATGAGAAACTTTACATTAATTTTTCTCTTTGATCAATGATGAAATGACAGTTAATGGATATGAATATTCCATTAACTTTATCGATAATGCTTTAATACACTGTATTAGTGTAAAATATCCCTTTTTTCAACCCTACAGATGTTTGTCTAATTTTTATGCCAATTTCCAGTATTAATTACCAATTTCTCCGTAAGTGACTGACCACTTATCTCACATGGTTTCCACTGACTTAGAAATAGTGGGATATTGCGGAGAACTGGAAAAAATACTGGTCAGTTAAATATCAAGGAAAGCTGGAAAGCTGGTTCAGTGGAACATTAGGCCAAGATCTGACCAAGAAAGGTTAAAATTGACGTAAAATTAAGACTACTGTAGCATTATTGCATCCATAAATGAAAGTTAATGAAATATTCATATCCGTTAATAACTGTTACAACGTCATTAATCAAAAACATAAAATAAAAATTTCTTAACAACACCCTGTAATGATGCCTTTAACATAAGCCTACGACATAACATGCCATATTAATGCTTTCGTCAATAATTTATTATGGTTTTTAATTGAATAAAGCAGGTGTTATAGTGACGCTGAAGTAATTAAAACTCCAATTCCTGTTTTATAACATCTTAGTCGGGGAACAAATTGACATGAAGTTTTCTAACTTGAGCATTCTATGAACAGATATCGGCTTTCTGCATCACTTTTTTATGTCAGTAAATTGAACATGCAAGCTATATACAGTTTTAACTTGTCAGTTTTGTTTGTTTATTGGTGTGTTTACGTTAAATGCTAGGTTCTAAAGCAGCACGCCTCTCAATTTCATGATATTTTTTTCCAGAGAAATTTAAACAGTACAAATATTGTCAAGCGATTTAACCATTTGCCTGCAAGAGACATCATGAATGCACTAAAATTTAAAATTTAAGACAAACATTGTAAATAAGAATCTTTGCAGGTTTTGTCTATTGGATAAGGCCTTCTTTCTCTTTCACATTAAAAATTGACAATCTACTGTTTAGAAATACTGTAGTGTACTGTCAAAAATTGTCACAGTAAAACATTGTGTTTCAACTAGTACTTCAATTCAGTAAATCCTGAGATAAGACACTCCCAGTGCTGTTGTAAGATACTCCCCCCTGCTGTTAAAAGACAATCCCCCAACTGTTATAAGTTACTACCCCCTGCTGTTACAAAATACTCCCCCTGCTGTTATAAGATGCTCCCCTGCTGTTATAAGATACTCCTGCTGTTATAAGAAACTGTAAGATGTTGGATTATGGAAGATTACTGAGTTATATTTTCATACATATGTACCTCATTGGCCATCATTTTGCACAACTCTTCTTTGGTAATTGACAATCTTTCCCTATCTGTACTGTCCACCACCAGTATTATATACTGAAATATAAACAATGTCATCAGTAACTATATGTATAACTGGTAAAATTTGATCACGAAATCTAATTTACAAAAAAACTACTAAGAGGCTACATGCATATTTTCATTTGAGTGAAATATGAAATATATTTTCACACTGAACATCTGGATTTTCTGATCCCTGATAAAGGCCTTATACTGCATTTTGATTCTGATGGTAAATGCATGACTGGGAGTTGAACATATCCCCCAGTAATTTTGGTGCCGGCACAAAACCACCTGACTGACCTGGATGTGAGGCTAAACACCAGGCTCAATTACCCCTGCTTCCACTTACAAGTCCTCAGGGTTGCTGGAGGGTCTGGGATGTTGCATGATTACACATATATGACACCCCTTTTTATATAGATACATCTACATTTATATAGATACATGTATACATAAAAATACTCAACTTCAAATGAATTTAAATCATAGTTCATTCCCTCTACAAATAAATTTATATATATTTCTACCCTTCAAACAAGTTTTTGTGGCGCTAAATATTGCCACCACCCATTTTGTCAATTTGTCAATGCACTGTCAAACAATTATCAACAATATGTATATACAGAGTAAATATTGATATCACAGTTACATTCAGGAATTAATGTATATACAACCATGTTTTCTTACAACTACAGACTTTAACATGTTATCAAATAACACATCAAAAATTTGAAAAGCAATTCAATACATAGCTCTTAAAATATTTCTCTTATAAACTCAAATAAAGTTTTTTTTCTGAATTAAAATGTTTGTCTGTTGAGTGCTTGAGTTTTATTCTACTGTCCAATATATAAAGCTACAGTATTAACAAATGGATGTCGGAAGTTTTATCTTTTTGTATGTTACTGGCTATATAGACACGATCATGTCACCAGACTATAAAATTTGGCCATCCTCTGTAGTGTAACAAAACTCTACTGTAGTATAACATGAGGATCACATGAGTTCTGACTTCCAAAATTTTTATATGCCAATCTTTTATGATATTTTGCTCTTTCATTTTGATGGGACATCCTGTCACAATGATAACGGGTATGCTAAAGACCTTATGTTAGGGTGACATATTCATTTGAAAGAATGCCACATCTAAAAATCAAGCAAGACAGCATATTACATGAATACTATCCCATATGCAAACATTAATATTCATATTTTCTCTACAAGTCTTTTATCAAATAAAATGTATACTAATTAAAAAATAATTTTATAATAACCAAAATATGTAAAAATAATGTTCAAAGGGAAGTCATGCCGGTCAAAAAGTTTACTAAAAGCTTGACTGTTCATATACACCACCAAGATGCATACCTGATGCAAAGTAAAGAAACCTTTTCCTAAATTATTTTATAAGATTCCCTTACATGAAACAATTAAGGGCAGCAGTGGCATTGCGGTTAAGATTAAGAAGTTTGATAATCATAATCAACCTTGGGATCATGGGACAATCAACAACCTTAGGATCATGGGGTTTGAATACAAAATAGTAAAAGGAAACACATCAAATAATTTGCCACATCCAATTTATATACAAACTTGCAAAAAAGTGTCTATTACTACAGAATATTATACAATGCGCACTGACTGCTATTGCCAAAGTTAATTGGTGAACATAAATCCTCTCCAGAAATTCTGTCATCGGAGGAGACAAACGATACCATAAAACAAGATTGTAAAATCGTGACCGAGGTAAATTAAGACTTTATGAACATAATTCCACTGAGAATATCTTGTTTGTCCTTTCACCGATGTACATGTTCAAAGCATTATCATACACCGGGACAAGATAAACTTGCAAATAATCTCCCTGCAGGAATATAAAGATGGTGAAATGTTTTTGTTTCAATTTACCATACAAAAAGGTTTTAACAGTGGGAAGAGGGACATTATGTGTGTGCCCAATTAGTTTATTTTTTTTTATTTTCCTTGGTTTTTTGTAGTTGTTTTTTGGTTGTTGTTTTTATTTTTTCAAAGTAAGTCTAGATATATGACTTTTATTACAAAAGCGCTTGCAAAAACATCAAAACAAGTTTATTTTCATTGGTTTTAGAACTTAACAAAACGTTAAGTCATATGATTTAAAAGATTCTCATATTACTTTCTCATAATTATAATTTAAAATTTTTATTAAAACTCATCTAAGAAAATGCTATAAAATTTATAACAATTTTCATGAACATGTTAAATAAATTTTTATATCATATGTTTATGACAGCTCATGGGAGATCCAAAATATATATATATACTACACTTTACCCTTCAAACCTGCAACTTCAAAAGCATAGAGTAGTATGCTATCAAAAACACAATCCTATTGATGACAATGTAAAATATAAATAAGGTCTAACTATTGTCATCTATAATAAATGATTTTCTACAGTACGGGGGAATTTTTAACCTCCTACACATGTATGGGTGGTTAAAATGAGCCGCGTCATGACAAAACCAACATAATGCGTTTGCGACCAGCATGGATCCAGCCCAGCCTGCACATTCGCGCAGTCTGATCAGGATCCATGCTGTTCGCTATCAGTTTCTCTACTTGTTATAGGGTTTGTAAGTGAACAGCATGGATCCTGATCAGACTGCAGGGATGCGCAGGCTGGTCTGGACCCATGCTGGTCGCAAACCCATTATGTTGGTTTTGTCATGTCAAATTACGCCTACCAAGCTATAAATGTTAGTTTTGCCTATCAGGATCATATACTCACAAACATGGTCAATAAATACAAATTCAGAATGTAATATATTTTGTTTGATAGAATTGTTTTGTTCATATTTGACCAGATATACAAGACAGGAATGGACATTTTGTTTGACTGAAAATGTTTGACATCATTTTATCAGAGGGACTGATTTAATGGACATTTTACTTATGTCTAAGGTTTCTTACCAAAAAATCCCTGAATTTCTTTTTTAACTAGTATTTAACATCCATATACCTTCAGAGATCCAAAATTCCACTCATATTTATGAGTAGAATTTAAGAGAACTCGATGCAGGATGAGTAGAAAAATGTTGCCTGTACATTTGAATTAGAAGCTACTGGTCCTGCAGGATAAGTGACTCTGAAAATATTTATCGATGCCTGACATTGTTCAATGAGAGTAAGTCTTTTTTGTTATTAGCCACCTGAGGTTAGGTGTAGTATGTTTCCAACGCTGAACGTTTGCGACTCCTGCCCACCATACCCCCCATCAAAAAATGTTATTTTCCCCTACCACCTCCCCCACGTTACTTTCCCATAGTTTGGGGAAGTATGGGACAAATTCATTCATTAAACTGTAATTTGAAAACGATAAAATTTTGGTACAAAAAAAAGGGGCCCTTAAAATTTTAAAAAAAAGAGGAAAATTAAAAATGTTAAACAAAGAAAAGGCCCAGGGCCTCTGTTAGTGGATTTAATTTTTTAAAACCTTTTTTTCGGGCTTCCAAAAAAAAAGGGCCCGGGCCCTTTAAATTTCCCCTTTTTCCCCAAAATTAATATGAAAATTTCCCGTGTCAAAACAAAATTTGCAGTTCTCTTTTAAATTTTGAACTTTAATGGGCCAAATAGGGGTTGTCAAAGGGGAGGGGAGGCTTCATTTAATTTATACTCAAACTTGATTTATAACCCAAAAATTGTTTAATTAGAAATTTTCCAAGGAGGAAGAATTTCATTAAAAGGTCCCAAGATCTACCAGTTTTACCTTTAAAAACTTCTTAAAAGCAGAAAAGATATTCTATCCTTTGTTTAAAAAATTTGTCAAGGCATAGACTCGTTAATTAGAGACAAACGAATACAAAAAACAAATATTTATGACCACCAAAATCAAGTGATGTAGGGGCATAAATAAATTCTGCTACTTGACTTTGTTACAAAGTTAAATTATTTAAGATAAAGAACTTACAAACTGGGTATAATAAGTAGTTTTTTTCCCTAGCATTTCTAGGCCCAACTATGAATCACTTTATGTTCTGAAAGAAAACAAACCCCCAAACTAACATGTATAAAATTGTCACAAGAAATCTTTCAAGAAGCACCGCTAGGCGGAAGCATAAATATGCACCGAAAGTGTGTTTTTTTTTTGTAAGGATGAAGCATTTGTAAGAACATGGGAATTAGTCTTCATCCTATAAAATTTTACAGTTGTAGGTTGATTAATACTTAAGTTATTAATAATGACCTTAACCTTTGACCTTGTGACCCTAAAATCAATAGGGGTCTTCTACCTTATATGGACAATCATCCTAAGGAGTTTGAATATTGTGGGCCAAATGGAACTTAAGTAATGCTCCGGAAACTGTTTTCAATTTTAAGGTGATAGTGACCTTGACCTTTGACCTTTTGACCCCAAAATCAATAGGGGTCTTCTACCCAATATGGACAATCATCCTATGAAGTTTGAACATTGTCGGTCAAATGGAACTTAAGTTATGCTCCAGAAACTGTTTTCAGTATCAAGGTAATAGTGACCTTGACCTTTGACCCTTTTGACCCCAAAATCAATAGGGGTCTTCTACCCAATATGGACAATCATGCTATGAAGTTTGAACATTGTGGGCCAAATGGAACTTAAGTTATGCTCCGGAAACCAAATTGCTAACAGACAAATTGCTAACGGACGGAAACTGTTTTCAGTATCAAGGTAATAGTGACCTTGACCTTTGACCTTTTGACCCCAAAATCAATAGGGGTCTTCTACCCAATATGGACAATCATCCTATGAAGTTTGAACATTGTGGGTCAAATGGAACTTAAGCTATCCTCCAGAAACTGTTTTCAGTTTTAAGGTAATAGTGACCTTGACCTTTGACCTTTTGACCCCAAAATCAATAGGGGTCTTCTACCCAATATGGACAATCATCCTATGAAGTTTGAACATTGTGGGCCAAATGGAACTTAAGTTATGCTCCGGAAACCAAATTGCTAACGGAACAAATTGCTAACGGACGGAAACTGTTTTCAGTATCAAGGTAATAGTGACCTTGACCTTTTAC